TTTGAAATCTAAAAAGATATGTTTTCTACAAGAGAAATTGTCTCTAAATAGGGATAAGAGCAGTGTGTAGTGGTTCGAAAGAATTCTAGGTAGGTGAAGGACTTGGGCATCAGGAAATTACTTATCCATTCTTCATTAGCAAGAACGAGATCAAGTCACTCAAATATGAGGCTATTTTTTTAATGTATTATTTAACCATCTGTAACGATTACCTTTAAATCCCTTATAGATAATTTCTTAGTAATTTATTATATCACAAAATTCCCTTCTACTGGAATTTTTTAGGGGATTCTCGCCAAGTTTGTCAACATTATTCAAAAGCTTGTTGAAGTCCCCACCATTTAGCCATTTTCTAGAGTAGGTGTCCTTAATTCTATGAAAGTTATTCCATAGAATTTTGCTTAAGTAACAGTAGAAGCTCACATAAATACAAATAAATTGAAAAAATTAATGTTTGATAATACCTTGATCATTGCATGCACTTATTGCTCGGTGATAACAATTTCGTCAAGCTCCACCAGGTTATTATCCCATAGAACGACAATGCCACTAGAGTTCTCCACTACTGGGACCTCAATCATTTTGTTGAATGGGAAATCATCCAATAAGACTTGGTGGTTCTGCATTTTTGTTTCAAACAATGCTACTAAGGCTGGTTTATGACAACCCAGTAAGGATCTAAAATTTCTCCTAAAGTCTGGACCATTATCTCCTCTACAGTTCCGTACTATAAATTCATTGACTTGTTTAGGTTTGGTGGGGTTAGCATAGGAGTATTCCATATGGTCATTGATGACACATTTGGATTGTCCTTCACTGTCGAGTTCAAAACTAGTACATAATTTCCTATCTCGGGGTTGACTAGGGTCCTGATATTTATTGAACATTTTACTAAATTTGGTGGAAAAATAAGAATAATTTTTTTGTCAATTTTTTTTATTTCATTTAGAACACCTATTTGAGTTCATGTTTCTCTTATTAGCACTAAGGCTTCTTATATTTCCCGAGTGTTGGAATTCACTGGTTGTATTGGGACTAAGTTTATTAGAAGAGGCAGCTGGGATGTGATTGCTATGTTGTTCGACACCTGGGATCTTGTACTACCCATTGAGCCCGGTGGAGTTATAGATAGATAGAAAGGATATCCTTGAGCCGAACCTTGTATCATCCAGTGATGAAAAAGTGGATCCATGTCCTGTAGGTTTTGAAAAATGAAATGAAAGTTTTGGGCCTACAACAGAGAGAAGATCTGATAAGGATGTGGCAGTGATGATTCCCATGTTGGGATATGGAAAATGGTATGGTAGGGAACTGATAGTTTAGTAGGGATTCTGATAGACTTTACTGTTGAAATAGAAAATAAAAGAACAAATACTGTTGTTTCACACTAGATTCACTGATATTACAACAAGAAGTCTGAAAACAAAACAATCACGAGTACACTACTGACATAACAAAACACATCCTAAGACAATAATAAACTTTAGTTATATAATCATAAAGATCACAACCTTTCTAGACATTCGAGATGCTAGAAACTCTCCCAGAATTCCCTTTTCTTTATTTTCTGAATACCCTTGTTTTAACTGCCCTGTCCCTATTTCTACAGAAAAAACCACCCAATACATGTGTAACTATCTCATGACAGTTACTAAGTTTCTTAATTGTTTATTTTGGCCTCCCGGAATAAGTTTTTATTACTTGAGGCACATCATTACCCTTCCCTATAAGAATCACCTTGTCCTCATGGTGAAATTCTGGAAATTGTTGATCGATGATTGCATATTCCTCCCAAGTATTCTCAAATTCTGATAGGTTTTTCCACTTGATTAACACTTCCAATTTACCATTGATTAGCTTCCTGATCTGTCTCACTGCTTCAGGCTCAACTTGAAGCTCCAATTCTTGGGTAAGAAATGGAGGTAGGTTTTGAGCAGAAGTAGTTGGAAGCAAGCATTTTATCAACTGTGAAACATGAAACACTGAATGGATGCATGCCCCAACTGGTAACTCCAACTGATAAGCTACGGGACCAATCTTTTCTAGAATCTTGTAAGGACAATAAAAGCGGGGACTGAGTTTTTCATTGATCTTCTTAGCCAAAAAACGTAGTTTGTAGGGCCGAAGTTTGAGATATACCATTTCACCAATCTGAAAAGTCAGTTCTCTATGATGTTGATCAGCTTGATTCTTCATTCTTTGTTGTGCTTGTAAAAAATATTCTTTGAGTTCGGTTAAGATCAAATTTCTAGTGCGCACCTTGTAACACCCCGTATCCGAAACAGACCAAAAATGCAAATTTTTAGAAGTTGCAGGTGCAACCCACAGTTTCCATCCATGGACCGTAGGTAAGACCAAGGCCCGTGCTGGTGGTCTGTGGTTCACCACTGCAACCCCTCCCCATCCAAGCTCAGAAAAGTCGGCTAAGTCTCGACTCACGGACAGACCCACGGTCCGTAGATCACACAACGGTCAGTGGTCTATGTCCATTGATCAAGACCTCCTTTACCCAGCCTCAGACACAAACTACGGTCGACCAGCATGGACTGTCATTCGATCCACGGTCTGTAGGTTTGACTGTAGATGAGGGTCAGCAACCAGTTAGCTGAAAATTGTTGATGGGTCAACTTCAGTTGTCCATAACTCTTAGCACAAAATTCATTATGTGTCCCATGACATATGGTTAGATAGATAATTGAATTCTCTTTCCAACGCCACCGAGTTTGCTAAGTTCCGACATTCGAGTAAAATGTTATGCTCATTTTAGTGAAGCCCTGTCAGGGAGACTCGACCGAAGGTTCCAATCGACGGACCGTCCATTATTTGACGGCCCGTCAGTACCGTCCATCAGTCATTCCGACAACAGTTAATTCAGGGGTCTTTTGGTCTTTTCCTATTTCGTTAAACCCCTGAGATACGTTGTTCAAACCCTAAATCATGAGGTTTAAGTCAGTTTAAGCGTAGAAACATAACTAGAACTTACCCTAGTCAAAATCATTAATCAAAACATAGAAAATTAAAATCAAGAGAGGAGAAAATGGTCAAGATCCCTAGTTCAAGAACGCAGCAATGTTCCATCAGTTCCGGCCCCGAAATCAAAAGATTCTCCGTGGAATTCGTCACCAGGTATGTGGGATTTCACTAGTGGGTTCCTTTCGCCCATTAGGTCCCTAGAATTTAGTCAGATTCTTGATTCCATGATTATGAACAGACCTAGGATTTCTAAAATTTCAACAGATCATCATGAATTAGTTATTTAAATATTCCAAATCAGATTTTCATGTTATTGCTCAGCTTATCAAATAAATTTCAGAACTTTATGTACGTATTTCATTAATTTTTAAATTACATATGCTAGGTCAGATATTTCAGTTATTCAGATATACATGCTCCAGTTTTATGCCACATTATCAGTATATTTCAGCATAAACCCTATTTTGAGTTGTAAATCTTGAAAAGCTTTTCTTTAAGACAACACTTGAGTTTTAAACTGAGATTTTGAGAAAGTTAAGATGAGTTTTGAGAAAGAGCTTCTAAAACATGATTAGTACGACAATTGAGTAGGTCATCAATGTATGAATAGTATGGCATCTAGATATACCATCAATGTTTATGCAATATGACTTCCCAAGTCATCAATGATCATGGTATAATATGTTGTTGAATTGTTTTTAAAAAAAAAGGGAGTTTTCAAGTATGAGTATCTACATGTTAGTATTTTGAGTTATTCAGTATTTCAGTCATAATATATTCAGTTATACATGCCTTAGTTTATGAATGCATCATTATCAGATTAATTATTCCATTCTCAATTTGCATGTTCAGTTTCGAGCTATCCAGTATTTACAGAAATTCAGTCATAACTAGTTAACAACTTAATTCATTGGGAGTAGCATAATACTGAGTTGGACTAGGGTTTAGCGCACCTATATAGTCCTAGAACTACGAGCGACGTAGGTGTAAGTCCCCTCTGTGGGCAACATCAGTTTAGTGATCACGCCAGTCATGCCTCTATACGTTTGGCCGGGTATATTGTGTCCTCTCGATGGGGCGTATACATCGGACTCCACATTTAGATCATGTGGTGTTATGTCGATTATTAGTAGCTCCGACAGTTCAGTCAGACTCTATTGCATTGACCATATTTTAGTAAAGTCAGTATTCAGTCTCAACATTTTATAAATTGGTCATTGCATTCACTTAGCTCAGTATTCAGTATCTATATCATGTTCAGATTATTTCATTGCTTTATTGCTTTTTTCAGTTATATGTTATTTCAACTTTACTCTATCCTGCATGCCAGTACCTCTCAAGTACTGACACATACGTGCGCTACATCTTCTCGTGATGTAGGTTCAGGTTCACAACATCCAGATCACGGTTAGATCGGTTTCCGATCTCCAGTTCGACAACATCAGTTGTGAGTCCTCATTCTTTAAGGACAATAGTCATGTCATCTTTCAATTTTTTTCAGTCTTTTAGTTTCAGATTTTCTAGACTTAGCTGGGGCATATCCCAGCACTTCTAGTCATTTTAAAGGCTTATTTCAGACATAGATAGATTCAACTTAGTATTGAGTTAATATATTCCTTATATTAAACTCATCATTTTTCATTTATCCTAGTTATAGTATATGGGTGTTCCCTATCTTTTCATTTTATTTATGATTTACCTTCTACATCAGTTTATTGTCTTTAGTATGCTCATGATCATGCCAGCAGGATTAGCTTGGGATCACTTGTGGTCCTAGGTTCCGTGTCCGCGTCTCGGGGGTAGCTCGGGGCATGACAAACTTGGTATCAGACCACTAGGTTTAAGGTTCCTAGGATGTCTGAAAAGAAGCACTAAGTAGAGTCTTTTTCATGGGTGTGAAGTGCACCACATCTAATGAGAGGGAGGCTATGAAGTGTTTTAGGAAAACTTCACTTTGTTGAAATGCTTATCGTGCAAAAGGTCTGATCTAATTCTATTTTAACTCGATGTTCTACATTTTAGCGATCATGCCTCCCAGTAGAGCAAACACTAGGAATGTGAATGCCAGGAATGCTAACACAGTTCCTCTAGTCCCAGATCAGGGAGTTTTGAATGGACAGTTTCAAAACACCATTCAATCTTTCGCTCAAAGTATGAATAATCTAAACAATAATGAGGTTGAGGGAGATAAGCTTAGGGAAATTGCTAAGGTTACCAAGAAAGCTAGAACTAGGAACTATGAGTACTCTCAGCAGAAATCGGGTGGTGGAAATCACTCACAGTTTCGACAAGATCAGAATAGTAGGGCACCAGGCTCTAAGTCTCAGAGTCTCAGGGAAGTGATTCAGGAAATAGGGCCTACCCAACTTGTCCAAAGTGTGGTAAGAACCATGCATGCGATTGTTTTGCAGGGAAGGAAGGATGTTTTGGGTGTGGCCAGTCTGGTCATAGGGTGAAGAATTGCTATTCTGCCCGGAAGGGGCAAGAAGGTAACAATACTAAGGCTCAGTCTACATCTCCACCAGTACCAAAAGGTCACCCAACTCAGCAGGGTAACTCTTCTGGTACAGGTGGCGGACAGCGCCAAAACAGGCTCTATGCTCTTCAGGTTCCCAGGACAGGAAGATTCTCTTGATGTGATCACTAGTATGTTTCGCATCCTTCTTTTGATATTTTGTAGTGTTAGATCCAAGGGCTACTATTACCTTTGTAAATCACTTTATAGAAGTAATCATAGGAATAAGTATAGAAACTCCTTCAGAACCCTTCTTAGTCTCTACCCCAATTGTGACCTAGTTATAGCTAGACGGGTTTACAGAAATTGCCCTGTCACAGTGTCTCAAAAAGTCATCTCAGCTGATCTTGTAGAGTTAGAAATGGTAGACTTCGATGTCATTTTAGTCATGGATCTGTTTCAGTTCTGTCATACCTCTGTCGATTGTAGACTTCGGGTTGTTCAGTTCCAATTTTCAAACGAGCCAGTCTTAGAATAGAAGAATAGTAGCTCGGTACCTACATGTTGATTATCCCTTACCTTAAGGCCAGAAAGAGGTGAATCTAGAGAATGGTGTAGCACATATTGAGGAAAAAAAAGGAAGGAAGTAGAAAAAGATGTTAATTGTCTTGCTCTCTTAGGAGTAAATCTTACTAACACATCAGATGGTGGTGTGATAGTCCATAATAGATCAGAATCCTCTTTGGTAGTAGTGGTTAAGGAAAAGCAAGATAGTGATCCCATCTTGCTTGAGCTTAAGGGTACATTCCACAATCAGAGAGCGGAGGTTTTCTCCCAGGGGGAGATGGTGTACTTTGCTATCAAGGTAGATTGTGTGTTCCTGATGTGGGTGACTTGAGATATCATATTCTTGCAGAGGCCCATAACTCCAGATATTCTATTCATCCAGGTGCCACTAAGATGTATCGCGATCTGCGGGAAGTCTATTGATGGAATTGTATGAAAAGAGATATACCAGACTCTATGGCTAAGTGCCCCAATTGCTAGCAAGTAAAGGTAGAACATCAGAAACCAGGAGGTATGGCTCAAGAGATTGACATTCCTACTTGGAAGTGGGAAGTGATTAACATGGACTTCATCACAGGTTTACCTCTTACTCGCAGACATCATGACTCCATATGGGTGATTGTTTATAGGGTTACTAAGTCTTATCGCTTTTGGCGATCAAGACTACTGATTCGACGGAGGATTATCCCAAACTTTACATTAATGAGATTGTGAGGTTGCATAGGGTTCCTTTCTCTATCATCTCAGATAGAGGTTCTTAGTTTACCTCTAATATGTCGGGTTATTTTAGAGAGGTCTTAGTACTCAGGTTAATCTTAGCACAGTATTTCATCCTCAGAAGGATGGTCAGGCAGAGCGTACCATTAGACCATAGAGGACATGTTGAGAGCTTGTGTGGTCGACTTCGAAGGTAGTTGGGATGAACGCATTCCTCTCATTGAGTTCGCCTACAACAATAGTTACCATTCCAACATTTAGATGGCCCTTTATGAGGCTTTGTGTATGCGTAGATGTAGATCTCCAGTTGGTTGGTTTGAAGTAGCTGAACCAGCCTTGATAGGACCAGATTCAGTCATTGATGGTATGGAGAAAGTTCAACTCATTAGAGATAGACTTAAGACTGCTCAGAGTCGCCAGAAGTCTTATGCAGATGTGAGAAGAAGGGAACTAGAGTTCCAAGTTGATGATTGGGTTTTCCTGAAAGTGTCACCTATAAAGGGGGTGATGAGATTTCGAAAGAAAGGGAAGCTCAGTACTAGATATGTAGGCCTTTACCGGATCTTGAAAAGGATTGGTAAAGTGGCTTATGAGTTAGCGTTGCCAGCAAATTTAGCAGCAGTGCATCCAGTCTTTCCCATTTCTCTTTTGAAGAAGTGTGTAGGTGAACCAGCATCCATAGTGGCATTAGAGAGTGTGGCTGTGAAAGATAGCCTTTATTATGAGGATGTATTTGTTGGGATTCTCGATCGTCAGTTAAGAATGTTGAGAAATAAAGAAATCGCTTCATTCAAGGTTTTGTGTAGGAGTCAGTCCGTAGAGGGAGCTAATTGGGAAGTACAAGCAGCCATGAAGTCCAAGTATTCTCGCCTCTTTCCTTCCAATTCCATTCCAACATGGGGTAATAGTTTGTCTTCAGTTTTTCAGTCATTCATGTGTAAATTCAGTTTTAGAATCATGTTTCGTCAGTTTGTACTTGCATTTTAAGAGTATTTGCATGTTCTTGGAACTCAGTTCAGTCAGAAATTCAATTCTCAATATTTAGTGGTAGGGATTCCAGCCCTCTCCCTGTCTTTCAGCTAGTTTAGTCTTCATTTGAGGATGAATGGTCCCAAGGGGGAGCTAATGTAAAACCCCGTATCCGAAACAGACCAAAAATATAGATTTTGAGAAGTTGCAGGTGCAACCCACGGTTACCATCCACGGACTGTAGGTTAGACCACGACTCGTGCTAGTGGTTCGTGGTTCACCACAGCAACCCCTCCCCATCCAAGCTCAGAAAAGTCAGCTAAGTCTCGACTCTCGGACAGACCCACGGTCCATTGATCAGCCAACGGTCCGTGTTCTACGTCCGTAGATCAAGACCTCCTTTAGCCAGCCTCTGACACAAACTACGGTTGACCAGCACAGACCGTCATTCTATCCACGGTCCGTAGGTCCAACTGTAGATGAGGGTCAGCAACCAATTAGTTGAAAATTGTTGATGGGTCAACTTCAGATGGCCATAACTCTAAGTACAAAATTAATTATGTGTGCCATGACCTATGGTTAGATAGATAATTGAAACCTCTTTCCAACGCCACTGAGTTTGCTAAATTACGACATTCGAGTAAAATGTTATGCTCATTTTAGTGAAGCCTTGTCAGGCAGACTCGACCGACGGTTCCAATCAATAGACTGTCGATTGATTGACAGCCCGTCAGAACCGTCCGTCAGTCATTTCGACAACAGTTAATTCAGGGGTCTTTGGGCCTTTTCCTATTTCGTTTAACCCCTTAGATACGTCGTTTAAACCTTAAATCGTGAGGTTTTAGTCAGTTTAAGCATAGAGACATAACTAGAACTTACCTTAGTAAAAATCATTAATCAAAATATAGAAAATTAGAATCTAGAGAGGAGAAAAATGTCAAGAACCCTAGTTCAAGAACGTAGCAAGATTCCATTAGTTCCAGCCACGAAATCGAAGGATTCTCCATGGAATTCGTCACCAGGTATGTGGGATTTCACTAGTGTGTTCCTTTCGTCCATTAGGTCCCTAGAATTCAATCAGATTCTTGATTCCATGATTATGAATAGAACTAGGGTTTTTAGAATTTCAACAGATCATCATGAATTAGTTATTTAAATATTCCGAATCAGATTATCATGTTATTACTCAGCTTATCGAATAAATTTCAGAACCCTAGCTATGTATTTCATTAGTTCTTGAATTACAGATGCTTGGTCAGATATTTCAGTTATTCAGATATACGTGCTCCAGTTTTATGCCACATTATCAGTATATTTCAGCATAAACCCTATTTTGAGTTATAAATCTTGAAAAGCTTATTTTTAAGACAACACATGAGTTTTAAACTGAGTTTTTGAGAAAGTTAAGATGAGTTTTGAGAAAGAGCTTCTAAAACATGATTAGGATGACAATTGAGTAGGTCATCAATGTATGAATAGTATGGTATCTAGATATACCATCAATGTTTATGCAGTATGACTTCCCAAGTCATCAATGATCATGGTATAATATGATGTTGAATTGTTTTTTAAAAAATGGGAGTTTTCAAGTATTAGTATCTATATGGTAGTATTTTGAGTTATTCAGTATTTCAGTCATAATATATTTAGTTATACATGCCTTAGTTTATGAATGCATCATTATTAGATTAATTGTTGCATTCTCAATTTGCATGTTCAGTTTCGAGCTATCCAGTATATACAGAAATTCAGTCATAACCAGTTAACTACTTAATTCATTGGGAGTAGCATAATACCGAGTTGGACTAGGGTTCAACGTACCCACATAGTCCCAAAACTATGAGCCATGTAGGTGTAAGTCCCCTCTGTGGGAAACATCAGTTTAGTGATCACGCCAGTCATGCCTCAATACCTTTGGTCGGGTATATTGGGTTCTCTCGATGGGGTGTATACATCGGACTCCACATTTAGTTCATGTGGTTTTATGTCGGTTATTAGTATCTCCGACAGTTCAGTTTGATTATATTGCATTGACCATATTTCAGTACAGCCAGTATTCAGTCTCAGCATGTTATAAATTGGTCATTGCATTCAGTTAGATCAATATTCAGTATCTATATTATGTTTAAATTATTTCATTGCTTTATTGCTTTGTTCAGTTACATGTTATTTTTGCTTAACTTTATCTTGCATGCTCAGTACCTCTCTAGTGCTGACGCATACGTGCGCTACATCTTCTTGTGATGTAGGTTCAGGTTCTCAGCATCCCGATCACGTTTAGATCGGTTCCCAATCTCCAGTTCGGCAGAATCAGTGGTGAGTCCTCATTCTTCGAGGACAATATTCATGTCATCTTTCAATTTTTTTCAATCCTTTAGTTTCAGATTTTCTAGACTTAGCTGGGGCATGTCCTAGAAGTTCTAGTCAGTTTAGAGGGTTATTTCAGACATAGATAGATTCAGTTTAGTATTGAGTTAATATCTTCCTTGTATTAAACTCATCAGTTTTCATTTATCCCATTTATAGTATATGGGTATTCACCATGTTTTCATTTTATTTATGATTTAGCCTCCGCATAAGTTTGTTATCTTTAATATGCTCATGATCATGACAACAGGGTTAGCTTGGGATCACTTGTGGTGCTATGTCCCGTGTCCGCGTCTCGGGGGTAGCTCGGGGCGTGATAAACTTGGTATTAGAGCACTAGGTTTAAGTGTGCTAGGATGTCTGAAAAGCCGCACTAAATAAAGTCTTTTTCATGGGTGTGAAGTGCACCACATCTAATGAGAGAGAGGCTATGAAGTGTTTTAGGAAAACTTCACGTTGTTGATATTCTTATCGTGCATAAGGTATGAACTAATTCTATTCTAACTCAATGTTCTACATTTCAGCGATCATGCCTCCCCGTAGATCAAACACTAGGAATGCGAATTCCAGGAATACTAACACAGTTCCTCTAGTCCCAGATCAGGGAGTTTCGAATGTAGAGTTTCAAAACACTATTTAACTTTTCTCTCAAAGTATGAATAATCAAAACAATTAGGAGTTTGAGGGAGATAAGCTTAGGGAAATTGCTAAGGTTACCAAGAAAGCTAGAACAGGGAACTATGAGTAGTCTCAACAGAAATCAGGTGGTGGAAATCGCTCACAGTTTCGACAAGATCAGAATAGTAGGGTACCAGGCTTTAAGTCTCAGGGAAGTGTTTCAGAAAATAGGACCTACCCAACTTGTCCAAAGTGTGGTAAAAATCATTCAGCCGAGTGTCTTGCAGGCAAGGAAGGATGTTTTGGGTATGGCCAGTCTGGTCATAGGGTGAAGAATTTCTCTTCTGCCGGGAAGGGGCAAGAAGGTAACAATACTAAGGATCAGTCTACAGCTCCAACAGTACCGAAAGGTCACCGAACTCAGCAGGGTAACTCTTATGGTACATGTGGTGGACAACGCCAAAACAGGCTCTATGCTCTTCAGGTTCCCCAGGACCAGGAATATTATTTTTATGTGATCACTAGTATGTTTCGAGTCCTTCTTTAGATTTTTTGTAATGTAAGATCTAAGGGCTATTCTTACCTTTGTAAATCTCTTTATAGAAGTAATCTTAGGAGTAAGTCTAGAAACTCCTTCAGAACCCTTCTTAGTCTCTACCCCAGTTGGTGACCTAGTTAAAGCTAGATGGATATACAAAAATTGCCCTGTCACAGTCTCTCAGAAAGTCACCTCAGCAGATGCTGTAGAGCTTGAAATGGTAGACTTCGACGTCATTCTAGTCATGGATGGGTTTCAGTTTTGTCATGCCTCAGTCGATTGTAGAATTTGGGTTGTTCAGTTCCAATTTCCAAACGAGCCAGTTTTATAATAGAAGGATAGTAACTCAGTACCTGTATGTTGATTATCCCTTACCTCTCATTTCAGGAAGTCATCTCAGAGAGGTCTTAGTACTCAGGATTATCTGAGCACAGTATTTCATCCTCAGACGAATGGTCAGGCAGAGCGTACCATTCAGACCTTACAGGACATGTTGAGAGCTTTTGTGATCGACTTCAAGGGTAGTTGGGATGATCAGATTCCTCTTATTGAGTTCACCTACAACAATAGTTACCATTCCAGCATTTAGATGGCCCCTTATGAGGCATTGTATGGGCGTAGATGTAGATCTCCAGTTGGTTGGTTTGAAGTAGGTGAACCAGCCTTGATAGGACCAGATTCAGTCATTGATGGTATGGAGAAAGTGCAACTCATTAGAGATAGACTTAAGAGTGCTCAGAGTCGCCAGAAGTCTTATGCAGATGTGAGAAGAAGGGAACTAGAGTTCCAAGTTGATGATTGGGTTTTCCTGAAAGTGTCACCTATAAAGGGGGTGATGAGATTTGGAAAGAAAGGGAAGCTCAGTACTAGATATGTAGGCCTTTACCGGATCTTGAAAAGGATTGGTAAAGTGGCTTATGAGTTAGCGTTGCCAGCAGATTTAGAAGCAGTGCATCCAGTCTTTCCCATTTCTCTTTTGAAGAAGTGTGTAGGTGAACCAGCATCCATAGTCGCATTACAGAGTATGGCTGTGAAAGATAGCCTTTATTATGAGGATGTATTTGTTGGGATTCTCGATCGTCAGTTAAGAATGTTGAGAAATAAAGAAATCGCTTCATTCAAGGTTTTGTGTAGGAGTCAGTCCGTAGAGGGAGCTAATTGGGAAGTAGAAGCACCCATGAAGTCCAAGTATTCTCGGCTCTTTCCTTCCAATTCCATTCCAGCTTGGGGTAATAGTTTGTCTTCAGTTTTTCAGACATTCATGTGTAAATTCAGTTTTAGAATCATGTTTCGTCAGTTTGTACTTGCATTTTAAGAGTATTTGCATGTTCTTGGAACTCAGTTCAGTCAGAAATTCAGTTGTCAATATTTAGTGGTAGGGATTCCAGCCCTCTCCCTGTCTTTCAGCTAGTTTAGTCTTCATTTGAGGATGAATGGTCCCAAGGGGGAGCTAATGTAAAACCACGTATCCGAAACAGACCAAAAATATAGATTTTGAGAAGTTGCAGGTGCAACCCACGGTTACCATCCACGGACTGTAGGTTAGACCACGGCTCGTGCTAGTGGTCCGTGGTTCACCACAGCAATCCCTCCCCATCCAAGCTCAGAAAAGTCGGCTAAATCTCGACTCTCGGACAGACCCACGGTCCATTGATCAGCCAACGGTCCGTGTTCGATGTCCATGGATCGATACCTCCTTTAGCCAGCCTCTGACACAAACTACGGTTGACCAGCACAGACCGTCATTCTATCCACGGTCCGTAGGTCCAACCGTAGATGAGGGTCAACAACCAATTAGTTGAAAATTGTTGATGGGTCAACTTCAGATGGCCATAACTCTAAGTACAAAATTAATTATGTGTGCCATGACATATGGTTAGATAGATAATTGAAACCTCTTTCCAACTCCACTGAGTTTGCTAAATTACGATATTCGAGTAAAATGTTATGCTCATTTTAGTGAAGCCTTGTCAGGCAGACTAGACCGACGGTTCCAATCAACAGACCGTCGATTGATTGACAGCCCGTCAGAACCGTCCGTCAGTCATTTCGACAACAGTTAATTCAGGGGTCTTTTGGCCTTTTCCTATTTCGTTTAACCCCTTAGATACGTCGTTTAAACCTTAAATCGTGAGGTTTTAGTCAGTTTAAGCATAGAGACATAACTAGAACTTACCTTAGTCAAAATCATTAATCAAAATATAGAAAATTAGAATCAAGAGAGGAGAAAAATGTCAAGAACCCTAGTTCAAGAACACAACAAGGTTCCATTAGTTCCAGCCATGAAATCGAAGGATTCTCCATGGAATTCGTCACCAGGTATGTGGGATTTCACTAGTGTGTTCCTTTCGTCCATTAGGTCCCTAGAATTCAATCAGATTCTTGATTCCATGATTATGAATAGAACTAGGGTTTCTAGAATTTCAACAGATCATCATGAATTACTTATTTAAATATTCCGAATCAGATTATCATGTTATTACTCAGCTTATCGAATAAATTTCAGAACCCTAGCTATGTATTTCATTAGTTCTTGAATTACAGATGCTTGGTCAGATATTTCAGTTATTTAGATATACGTGCTCCAGTTTTATGCCACATTATCAGTATATTTTAGCATAAACCCTATTTTGAGTTATAAATATTGAAAAGCTTTTTTTTAAGACAACACATGAGTTTTAAACTGAGTTTTTGAGAAAGTGCTTCTAAAACATGATTAGGATGACAATTGACTAGGTCATCAATGTATGAATAGTATGGTATCTAGATATACCATCAATGTTTATGCAATATGACTTCCCAAGTCATCAATGATCATGGTATAATATGATGTTGAATTGTTTTTAAAAAAAGGGAGTTTTCAAGTATGCGTATCTACATGTAAGTATTTTTAGTTATTCAGTATTCAGTCATAATATATTCTGTTATACATGCCTCAGTTTATGAATGCATCATTATCAGATTAATTATTGCATTCTCAGTTTGCATTTTCAGTTTCGAGCTATCCTATTTTTACCGAAATTCAGTCATAACCAGTTAACTACTTAATTCATTGGGAGTAGCATAATACCTAGTTGGACTAGGGTTCAACGTACCCATATAGTCCCAAAACTACGAGCCACGTAGGTGTAAGTCCCCTATGTGGGAAACATCAGTTTAGTGATCACGCCAGTCATGCCTCTATACCTTTGGCCGGGTATATTGGGTCCTCTCGATAGGGTGTATACATCGGACTCCACATTTAGTTCATGTGGTTTTATGTCGGTTATTAGTAGCTCCGACAGTTCAGTTTGATTATATTGCATTGACCATATTTCAGTACAGCCAGTATTCAGTCTCAGCATGTTATAAATTGGTCATTGCTTTCAGTTAGCTCAATATTCAGTATCTATATTATGTTCAGATTATTTCATTGCTTTATTGCTTTGTTTAGTTACATGTTATTTTTGCTTAACTTTATCTTGCATGCTCAGTACCTCTCTAGTGCTGACGCATACATGCACTACATCTTCTCGTGATGTAGGTTCAGGTTCTCAGCATCCCGATCACGTTTAGATCGGTTCCCAATCTCCAGTTCGGCAGAATCAGTGGTGAGTCCTCATTCTTCGAGGACAATAGTCATGTCATCTTTCAATTTTTTTCAATCCTTTAGTTTCAGATTTTCTAGACTTAGCTGGGGCATGTCCTAGCAGTTCTAGTCAGTTTAAAGGCTTATTTCAGACATAGATAGATTCAGTTTAGTATTGAGTTAATATCTTCCTTGTATTAAACTCATCAGTTTTCATTTATCCCATTTATAGTATATGGGTATTCACCATGTTTTCATTTAATTTCTGATTTAGCCTCCGCATAAGTTTATTATCTTGAATATGTTCATGATCATGACAGCAAGGTTAGCTTGGGATCACTTGTGGTGCTATGTCCCGTGTCCGCGTCTCGGGGGTAGCTCGGGGCGTGATAAACTTGGTATTAGAGCACTAGGTTTAAGTGTCCTAGGATGTCTGAAAAGCCGCACTAAATAGAGTCTTTTTCATGGGTGTGAAGTGCACCACATCTAATGAGAGAGAGGCTATGAAGTGTTTTAGGAAAACTTCACTTTGTTGATATTCTTATCGTGCGTAAGGTATGAACTAATTCTATTCTTACTCGATGTTCTACATTTCAGCGATCATGCCTCCCCGTAGATCAAACACTAGGAATGCGAATTCCAGGAATACTAACACAGTTCCTCTAGTCCCAGATCAGGGAGTTTCGAATGTAGAGTTTCAAAACACTATTTAACTTTTCTCTCAAAGTATGAATAATCAAAACAATCAGGAGTTTGAGGGATATAAGCTTAGGGAAATTGCTAAGGTTACCAAGAAAGCTAGAACAGGGAACTATGAGTAGTTTCAGCAGAAATCAGGTGGTGGAAATCGCTCACAGTTTCGACAAGATCAGAATAGTAGGGTACCAGGCTCTGAGTCTCAGGGAAGTGTTTCAGAAAATAGGACCTACCCAACTTGTCCAAAGTGTGGTAAGAATCATTCCACCGAGTGTCTTGCAGGCAAGGAAAGATGTTTTGGGTGTGGCCAGTCTGGTCATAGGGTGAAGAATTTCTCTTCTGCCGGGAAGGGGCAAGAAGGTAACAATACTAAAGCTCAGTCTACAGCTCCAACAGTACCGAAAGGTCACCCAACTCAGAAGGGTAACTCTTCTGGTACATGTGGTGGAAAACGCCAAAACAGGCTCTATGCTCTTCAGGCTCCCCAGGACCAGGAATATTTTGTTGATGTGATCACTAGTATGTTTCGAGTCCTTCTTTAGATTTTTTGTAATGTAAGATCTAAGGGCTATTCTTACCTTTGTAACTCTCTTTATAGCAGTAATCTTAAGAGTAAGTCTAGAAACTCCTTCAGAACCCTTCTTAGTCTCTACCCCAGTTGGTGACCTAGTTATAGCTAGATGGATATACAAAAATTGCCCTGTCACAGTCTCTTAGAAAGTCACCTCACCAGATGCTGTAGAGCTTGAAATGGTAGACTTCGACGTCATTCTAGTCATGGATGGGTTTCAGTTCTGTCATGCCTCAGTCGATTGTAGAATTCGGGTTGTTCAGTTCCAATTTCCAAACGATCCAGTTTTATAATAGAAGGGTAGTAACTCAGTACCTGTATGTTGATTATCCCTTACCTTTAGGCCAAAAAGCGGTGAATCTAGAGGGTGGTGTAGCACATATTGAGGAAAAAAAAGTAAGGAAGTAGAAAAAAATGTTCATCGTCTTGCTCTCTTAAGAGTTAGACTTACTAACACATCAGATGGTGGTGTGATAGTCCAGAATAGATCAGAATCTTCTTTGGTAGTAGAGGTTAAGGAAAAGCAAGATAGTGATCCAATCTTGCTTGAGCTTAAGGGTACAGTCCACAATCAGAGAGTGGAGGTTTTCTCCTAGGGGGAGATGGTGTCCTTCGCTATCAAGGTAGATTGTGTGTTCCTCATGTGAGTGACTTGAGAGAGCATATTCTTGCAGAGGCGCATAACTCCAGATATTCTATTCATCCAGGTGCCACTAAGATGTATCGCGATCTGCGGGAAGTGTATTGATGGAATGGCATGAAAAGAGATATACCAGATTTTCTGGCTAAGTGCCCCAATTGCCAGCAAGTCAAGGTAGAACATCGGAAACAAGGAGGTATGGCTCAAGTGATTGACATTCCTACTTGGAAGTGGGAAGTGATCAACATGGACTTCATCACAGGTTTACCTCGTACTCGCAGACAGCATGACTCAATTTGTGTGATTGTTGATAGGGTTACTAAGTCATATCGCTTTTGGCGGTCAAGACTACAGATTCAGCGGAGGATTACGCCAAGCTTTACATTAATGAGATTGTGAGGTTGCATAGGGTTCCTTTGTCTATCATCTCAGATAGAAGTTCTCAGTTTACCTCTCATTTCAGGAAGTCATTTCAGAGAGGTCTTAGTACTCAGGTTTATCTGAGCACAGTAGTTCATCCTCAGACGAATGGTCAGGCAGAGCGTATCATTCAGACCTTACAGGACTTGTTGAGAGCTTCTGTGATCGACTTCAAGGGTAGTTGGGATGATCACATTCCTCTTATTGAGTTCGCCTACAACAATAGTTACCATTCCAGCATTTAGATGGCCCCTTATGAGGCATTGTATGGGCGTAGATGTAGATCTCCAGTTGGTTGGTTTGAAGTAGGTGAACCAGCCTTGATAAGACCAGATTCAGTTTTTCCCATTTCTCTTTTAAAGAAGTGTGTGGGTGATCCAAGATCCATAGTGCCATTAGAGAGTGTGGCCGTGAAAGATAGTACTTTCTCATGAGGATGTATCAGTTGGGATTCTCGATCGTCAGGTTAGAAGGTTGAGAAATAAAGAAGTCGCTTCAGTCAAGGTATTGGGTCCTCTCGATGGGGCGTATACATCGGACTCCACATTTAGCTCATGTGTTTTTATGTCGGTTATTAGTAGCTCCAACATTTCAGTCAGACTCTATTGCATTGACCATATTTCAGTACAGCCAGTATTCAGTCTCAGCATGTTATAAATTGGTCATTGCATTCAGTTAGCTCAGTATTCAGTATCTATATCATGTTCAGATCATTTCATTGCTTTATTGCTTTGTTCAGTTATATGTTATTTCAGCTTTACTCTATCCTGCATGCTCAGTACCTCTCAAGTACTGATGCATACGTGCGCTACATCTTCTCGTGATATAGGTTCAGGTTCTCAGCATCCAGATCACGCTTAGATCAGTTCCCGATCTCCAGTTCGGTAGCATCAGTGGTGAGTCCTCAGCGATGACAATAGTCATGTTATCTTTCAATATTTTTCAGCCTTTTAGATTCAGAATTTCTAGACTTAGCTGGGGCATGTCCCAGCACTTCTAGTGAGTTTAGAGGCTTATTTCAGACATAGATAGATTTAAATTAGTAGTGAGTTAATATCTTTCTTGTATTAAACTCATCAATTTTCATTTATCCCAATTATAGTATATGGGTATTCCCCATCTTTTCATTTTATTTTTGATTTAGCTTCCTTATCAGTTTATTATCTTTAGTATTCTCATTATCATGCCAGCAGGGTTAGCTTGGGATCACTTGTGGTCCTAGTTCCCGTGTCCGCGTCTCGGGAGTATCTCGGGGCATTACAAACTTGGCATCAGAGCACTAGGTTTAAGTGTCCTAGGATGTCTAAAAAGCCACACTAAGTAGAGTCCTTTTTCATGGGTGTGAAGTGCACCACATCTAATGAGAGGGAGGCTATGAAGTATTTTAGAAAAACATCACTTTGTTGATATTCTTATCGTGCATAAGATATGATCAAATTCTATTCTAACTCGATGTTCTACATTTCAGCGATCATGCCTCCCCGTCGATCAAACACTAGGAATGCGAATGCCAAGAATGCTAACACAGTTCCTCTAGTCCCAGATCAGGGAGTTTCGAATACAGAGTTTCAAAACACTATTTAAACTTTCGCTCAAAGTATGAATAATCAAAACAATCAGGAGGTTAAGGGAGATAAGCTTATCTTGCATCAGACTTCTTGTGTGGGTACTCCTCAACAAAATGGGGACGGATAATGTAGACATCTTCTAGAGATTGCTAGAGGCTTGATGTTTCACTCACATTTACCTATTTCCTAATGGGGGAGGGAATCATAACAATCACTCACTTGATCAACAGACTGCTATCTAGATTACTCAAAGGAAGGAGTAATCCTTATGAAATGTTTTTTGGCGATTCTCATTCATATGAGAACCTTAGACTTTTGTATGTTTATGCTATGCCTCCACGTTAGATCACCATAGAATTAAGTTTGCTCCTAGGGCTATAACTTGTGCTTTTCTAGGCTATCCTCATGGAAAAAGGATTCAAACTTTGGGAACTAGACACCAAAAGAGTCTTTTTTTTTCAAGATATGTACCATTTCATAAACAACATTTCCCTTTTGCCTCTCTTTTTGTGTCTGAGTTTCCTATTTTCTCCACTTTTCCACCAACTCTAGATGATGCCACTCTCTCTCAATCCACTCCTACATCAGATTCCACTCCATCTATATCTAGTCGTCCTACTTTCTCCTCTCTCACATCTTCCCTTTCTCCTCAGCTTCCTAACAATCCTCATTCTTCTATTTCTTCTCTTCAGACCCCCACTTCTTCTTTACCTCTTTCAATTCCCTCAAGGAGGTTTGGTAGAATTAGTTACAAACCCAACTATCTAGATGATTATATTACCCATAATATTATTTTTACTAATTTAACTAGTTCTTGTTTTGTTAATTTTATCAAACTCACTGCCTACTCTTTTGGTTCTTTGTCACTACCCAATCAACATGCAGTTCTCTCTAATTCTAATGTTCTTGAACCCCACAGTCAGGTTGTTGCCCATCCTAGCTAGATAGTTGTTATGCATGATGAATGCAATGCCCTAGCTCTTAAGCATACTTGGGATATGGTAAAACTTCCTACTAGAAAAATAACTTTACCTTTTAAATGGGTTTACAAGGTTAACCATAAATCAGATGGTTTAGTTTCAAGGTTAAAGGCCAGATTGGTTGTGCGGGGGGATATTCAAAGAGAAGGTACTGATTACACTGACACATTCTCTTCAACGGTAAAAATGACCACTATCATATGGCTTCCTACAGTTTCTATTCAAAGGGGTTGGGGTGTTCATTAACTGGATGTTAACAATGTTTTTTTGCATGGTGATTTACAGGAAAAAATTTACATGAAATTTCGTGTACGAATGACTCCGCCTGATCCTTCTATGGTATGGCTCCTAAATAAGTCTTTATATTGACTTAAACAAGCTTCCTGACAATTGTATGCTAAGCTTGTATGGGCTTTAACCTTCAAGAATACTAAAGACCTTGTATCTATCATTGGTGTCTATGATGATGACATATTGCTTACTTATGATGACATCACCGAAATTTCAAAGATCACCAATTTTCTCAACAAGGAGTTCAAGGTCAAACATTTAGGGGACATTCATTATTTTTGGGTCTAGAAATTCTTTGAGAAAAACAGGGCTTCATCATGAATCAAAGGAAATTTACTTTGGAGCTTTTACAAGAATTTGACCTTAGTGGTCCTGTTGTGTCTTCCCCTCTTGACTCTTACTCTAAATTTCATCTAGAAAATAGTCCTCTTTTACCTAATCCTTATATATATAGACATTTGGTTGGAAAGCTCAATTATCTTACTTACACTAGACCTGATTTATCATTTGTATTCATAAAATTAAGCCAACATATGCAATATCCTACTTAGTCAAATTATTCAGCAGCCATAAGGGTTTTGAGATACCTTCAAATGGACCCCGAACAAGGTATTCTTCTCTTTTCAGATCCATCATTTGAGTTGCTTGCCTTCTGCCATGCCGACTATGTTGTTTGTCCAACATCTCATCACTCAGTCAGTGGTTATTTTATCACTCTTATTGGTTTACTTGTCTCCTAGAAATTAAAAAAGCAAAAATCAATGTCTTTATCTTCTGCTGAGGGAGAATATAGATAAATGAGAAAGGTCACAACTGAGTTCACCTAGCTTGTCTAACTTCTTGCAAATTTATCTGCACCACCCCATTTACGGATGATTGTTCACTCTGATAGCCTGGCGGCGATCCATATAGGAAAAAACCATGTCTTCCATGAGAGAATGAAGCATGTGGACTTGGATTTCCATTTTGTCCGGCAACAATTTATCTCCGCACTTATTACTCTTTATTTTCTCCCATCGACATTATAACTTGCTAATTTATTCACTAAACCTCTTTCTTGGAGGTCTCGTCG